TTCTTTCTCTTTCTCTTACACCTTTTTTACTTCCCAGTTGTCAGTATTTCTAATTTTTCTTCACGGAACATGCTCACTTGCAATAAATGCAGAGCTAAAAATCAGCAGGCGGGCCCACTCATCACGCCTGAACCCCAGGTCACCAGCACCTGCTGCCCCCGGCCACACATGGTTCCATCAGTTCTGCTCAGAAATGTCACAGCTGCCATTTTCATGGCCCCGGGTCCCCGGAACCCTGGCCCACAGCCCACACTGGCCCAAATGCAGGTCACGTCCTCTCTTAGTCATCTCTGATGACTCCCACTGCTAGGGACAGTCCCACACTCCGTCTGGGCACCGAGGTCCAGCTGGGCCTGCTTGCCCCCCTCTCTTCGTTTCTCCCCCCTGCCCCCCGGCAATAGTTGGCTGAAGATTGTGTGGGTGCTGTTCAAGAGGGCTTCCTTACACTTTGCGGTTTGGCAAAATAAGTTTGTCTGCCCTAGCCGGTTCGACTCAGTGGATAGAGCATTGGCCTCCAGACTGAAGGGTCCCGGGGTTGATTCTGATCAAGGGCACATGCAGGGTTGCAGGCTCCATCACCAGTAGGGGGCGAGCAGGAGGCAGCCAATCAATGATTCTCTCTCATCGATGTTTCTATCTCTCCCTCTCCCTTCCTCTCTGAAATCAATAAAAGCATATAAAAAAATAAAGTAAGTTCATCCTTCAAAGCCCGATTTGCACGTCACTTCTTCCAGGAAGCCTCCCCTGACTGCCTGGAAGAAAAGGAATCCTCCCTTCGAGGTGCGATGGAAGATGGAAGATGTAGGAGTCCAACAGCCATGTTTGGGCCCTGCCCCACCATTTCACCTGGAATTCCATGCGTGAGGATGGGTAGGGGTGGGGAGCACACGGAGCTGCCCTCTCCAACATGTCACATACACGGGGCAGACAGCGGACGCTACCCAATGGAGAGGCCCGGGGAGTTACTCAATGAGACCATGAGGGGTGCTCCCTGGGGCACTGTGGGAGATGGAGGTGGGGGGGCTAGGTGAGGGGTCAGCATGAGAATGTTCAAGTGAGACCTTGGGGCGGGGGTAAAGCAAGAGGAAGGGGGGTGGGGGAACTAGGAACTGTCCTGAGGTGGGAAGAAGTGTCTGTGGATAAAGTGGGTCCTTGGGGAGAAACACAGGAAGGGCCCAAGGTGTGTCCTCAGAAGGGTGTCTGCCATGCCTGGGGCTCCAGGTCTGGGCTGTGGAAGTTCAGGAACCCCCTCCCCCCGCCCCAGGAGAGGATCTGGGGAAAGATGGGGCGTTTGTTCTATGCACGTCCAGTGGGGTGTCTGGGCCTGTGAGCAGTTCAAGGGGGCTGAGAAGAACAGGCTGATTAATCAGAAAAGTCAGAGCAATAAATTTAAAAGCTTTTATATTAAAACAAAAGGGAGAAGGAATAGACACAGCTCCTTGGCCCCTGCTTGCCGCTGCCATTGGTAACCCCCGCGTGGTTACATCTGCCAGGCTCTGTGCCCTAGGAGCTCACATTTACAGGGGTCACGGGGGCTGGGGTTTCGGCACATCTTTTTGGGCAGATGCCACGCAACCTCCCACTAAACGTACCTGCGAGGGCTGAGCCCGGGGTGGGGAGACCTCACCCATCAGGGGTCCACTAGTTCTCTCCTGCTGCAGACAAAGTTGCCCCCTTACAACACCTGTGGTCCCCTTCCCCGTCCGCACAGCCCCTGGGCTGGTGCTCCTGGCTCCGAGGCGGCAGGAGGTTGTCCCTGGGCATGTCACCCAGGGTGAACCGGGTGCAGGATTCCAGGTGACTCCCGCCCGGGGCTGGCAGGTTGGGGCTGGTGGTTGGTGGGAGGCCTCCTGGCCTCGCTGAGCCTCGGGCTGGCCCAGGTCTGCCTTCTGGCTGGGTTTCCGCCCACGAGGGTGGTGAGCTCAGCTCTCACTCTCCTGCAGCCTCTGGGGAGAGGAGCAGGCCGCCTCCTGTCCCCGGGGAGCATTCCTGGCGGATTCCACAGGCGGTCTGTGCAGGCTCGGGGTTTCCAGACATACCTGTGGCCAGGCAGCGCTCCTTCTTCGGAACGGAACAGTGAGAACACCTGGGAGACCGTTCTGCTTTCCTCCCAGGTGCGAAAACCACGAAACCGCCCAGCAGGTGCGGCTCCGTGATTGACGTGAACCAGGTGGTCACGGTTTGATTCCCGGTCAGGGCGCATGTCGGGGTTGCGGGCTCCATCCCCCATGGGGGACATGCAGGAGGCAGCCAATCAATGTTTCTCATCGTTGATATTTCTATCTCCCTCCCCCTTTCTCTCTGAAATCAATAAAGATATCTTTTAAAAAAACAAACCAACCATGAAACCTTCTAAACTTGGTGCCTCAAAGGGAGGCAAGCAGATTCCTTGTCAGGAAACCATGACAAGGCACAGATGTAAGGCTGCCCAGAGGACACTTGATGCCCCCCCACCCCCAGGGGGCGGTGTCTGTGCTAAAGTTCCAGGTTTCTGACCTGAAGGTCTGAGGCAGGGCCTGACCTCAGCCCTGGGGGC